AAAAAAAATATACATACATATTTTACCCAACATCATAATATTTTAATCATAACTAAACATACTGCAAATCCTTACGTTTAATTATGACCAGAAGCGCTATATTCATTGAAATGGACCGTTCGAGGGTGACGTTGTGGAATATCTTCCTATGGCGCCAACACCAGATTAGGGAGTTGAGACCAAATTTTAATGGCACCAATATCGATAAGTAGATGCCAATGTACTTGTAAGATTATCAACGTCTTTGGAATAAACTTGGAGTCAGGTCATCTAATAGTTTATATGGACTTGTTTATTAAAGTCCTTAAATCATATGGAAGCTTAATTTTTCAATTTTTCAATGATTGACGAGGCACTATTAATGATCCCTAAAGTTTGTCACTTATTGTACTTTCATCTCAAAATTTCTAATTTCTTTAATTTTGTCCTCCATTTAAAACATTGACTTATTTTGGTTCTTACCCCTAACTGTTGTCCAAATAATAGACAGAAAATGTCCTCTCATATGCAACTTTTGAAGCATATTTTTGGTATTTTACTACTATTTATGAATCCAAACACAATTATCCCTTATATATATACTAACAATTGCACGGTGTTATNTCTTACCCCTAACTATTGTCCAAATAATAGACAGAAAATGTCCTCTCATATGCAACTTTTGAAGCATATTTTTGGTATTTTACTACTATTTATGAATCCAAACACAATTATCCCTTATATATATACTAACAATTGCACGGTGTTATTCGTAAATTAGTTACAAATATTTGTCCATACATAAATGTAAAGTAAAATATAACATTATAGTAAATGACGAACAAAATGAGTCTACTAATATTTTTTATAATATCAACCTACATGCATAACATATATTTTCACATTAAATTGTTACGCCACGAAAATTATGTTATAACTACTGAAACATAATAATTCAAACATTTGAAAAAATATATCAATTGATAATATTCAATGTTCTATTTTTTATTCAAAATTCACGATTTTAACATTCATAATCAACTTTATCTAAATAATAATATAATTTATAACTAATAGAATGAAAATTAAAATAATAATCTCACAAATAAATAAACAGATGTTGTCAAATGACCAAATATAACTATTAGAAATTCAACCGACTTCTAAAAGATATGACATGACTATTGAATTTATATGATTCGAGTTTATAGTAGTGTTTTTAATTATATATAATTATTTCTTGATTATTTATATTATTAGCATATTTTCTTAAATTAAACGTTATTTAGTATTGGATTATTTAATAAAGATTGTTACTTCGTGTTGTTTACTAAATATTGAATTTGTATGATTTGTGTTCATAGTATTGCTTATAATTTTATATCGTTTCTCTCTTTTATAATTTTGTATCATTTTTCTTGGGTATTTAGATTTGAATTTTTTAGTAAATAATGTTGCTTTGTGTTGTTCACTAAATATTGAATTTATATGATTTGTGTTTGTATATGAATTTAATCTTGTAATATTTTAAATGTTAAACATATTTTCTTTAATATATCTCTTGATATTTGAGTTGTCTAATAACTTGAATTTAATCTTGTATATTTTATATGTTAAGCATATTTCCTTCATTAAATTAGATTTTTTGCAAGTTACGCTTTTTTTTTAATTGATTATGGAAAAAATAAAATTGACTATTGAATTTGTATGATTCGAGTCTATAGTAGTGCTTTTAATTTTATGTCATTCTTCTCGGTTATTTATATTCTTAGTATATTTTCTTAAACTAAACCTTATTTAGTATTGGATTATTTTGTTGCTTCATGTTGTTCACTAAAAATTGAATTTATATCATTCGTATTCATAATATTGTTTATAACTTTGCATTGTTTTTTTGCTTATAATTTTGTATCATTTTTCTCGGGTATTTAGATTTGAATTATTTAATAAATATTGTTGCTTTGTGTTGTTTACTAAATATTGAATTTGTATAATTCGTGTTTGTATATAAATTTAATCTTGTATATTTTAATGTTAAGCATTTTTTTTTAATATATCTCTTGATATCTGAGTTGCCCAATAACTTGAATTTAATCTTGTATATTTTACATGTTAAACATATTTTCTTTGTTAAATTAGATTTTTTGCAAGTTATTCTTTTATTTATTAATTATGGAAAAAACAATTTTGACTATTGAATTTGTATTATTCGTGTTTGTAGTATTGCTTGAATGAAAGAGAGAGATACAGAAGAATATTTTCGTGATATATACTATCTATCTACAAAGAGATGCAATATTTGCTTGAATCAAACACTTTATAATATTTTTGTGATATTTTCGTGAGATACAGAGAGATATATGGAGGAAAAATATTATAAAAAATTGATACTTTTTGCATAAATTGAGCGTGAAAAAGATATAGAGGAATGAGAATGAGAGAGAGAGAGATATTTGCTTGATTTAAAGAAAAGATTTGGGAGAATTAAATTTTGAAATATCAATTTTTGAAACTAAAAATTTTGAGTAGCAAAAATATTTCAAAAGAGCTAATGTGGTACGTCGGATCAAAACGATCTGAGACGTCAATAGCTTGAGACAGTTTGTGATAACGCCGTCCGTTGGATGATATTTTTTTTGCTCAGAAAACGATATAGATCACTCTTTGTCTTCAAAATTCAAATTCGTTCTACTTTATTATATATATATATATATATTAAACATGAACCCAAACACCCACCTTCTTTTTTTCATTTTTATTTTCTCTCTCCCTCACACAGGTAGACATCCTTCTCTCTCTCCCTCATAGACGCATACATCATTTTCTCTCTCTCTCTATCTCTCACTCTCTCTTGTTACTGCATCTCCACCCCCCCAAACCCAACACATCTAAACCCCAACACAAACATAACATAAAACCACAAATACACATCCACAACACAAACCCACATCGTTATTATGTCNATCTCTCACTCTCTCTTGTTACTGCATCTCCACCCCCCCAAACCCAACACATCTAAACCCCAACACAAACATAACATAAAACCACAAATACACATCCACAACACAAACCCACATCGTTATTATGTCTTCACCCCCTAAACCCAACACATCTAAACCC